GATTACGTCTTCAGTATTTACTTTGTGATAATAGGTTTATATACTGTAATTTTTTTTTATTAATCTGTGTTCATAGTGTAGTGACGTGAAGACAGCCTTCACGTCACTACGCTAGATTGAGAGCCTTGTGGTAGTTCTCAGTTTTATTTCTATAGATATTTTGGTCTGACCAGTCGTCCAAAACGTTCTAAAAATTCTCGAGGAGTATAAACTTCATATCATGTATAATATATATACATATATTTATTATCATCCTTAAAACTGTTTATTGCTGAACATAGGCCCTCCCCATAAGGTGGGGTTTTATCAGTAGTTGCCATGTTTGACAGGCGGTTTAGCAACCGCAGTCAGGCTTAGATGATGTTTTAAAAGGGACGCTGCTGTCCATGTAGTTTCTTTTATTTTATTAATAAATATAATATTATTAAAATAAATCCTTACAGAAAACAAAGTTTTCTTGAGATGCATGTTATAAGTTCTCATAACTAAGTATGAGATCTGATGATTTTACATTTTGCATTTTTTTTTATACAACTTAGAATAGCAAACAAGCTGACGGCCCACCTGATGGAAAGTGGTAACCGTCGCCTATAGACATGAGCAGTACCGTGGACATAACAGAGTATACTGTTTCGCCCATGATACCCCCTATGTATTGCCATTCCTGAGGACTCAGTTGTTATTCCTCTGTACCCTGTAAAATCACATCATATCACACCCTTCGAACCGAAACACAGCCATGCAAACACAACTGCTTCATGGTAGAAACACGAATGGAACAGAGGTACCCAAGCAAACGACTTTTGTACAAAGTCTACCTCTGGTTATTAGCTTACCTCTTAGCTTATTAAATTTTATTACCTGGCATTTAATTACCTCTGATATATTTTTATGTATAATTAGTATGTATAATAAAGTATTAAATAAAATAAAATAAATAAAGAAGTATTTGTTTTTAAGAGCACAAGGGTGGTAGACAAGTTGACAGATCACATTATGGAAGTACAGACGTTTATAAATATAAAAACAAGATTCTGTCATAACTACAACAACTCGTTTTAAATTTATTCTCTGTATATTATTGTATTGGTAACTGACGACTCGATCCGGTTTCTTGTAACGTTTTTTTTTTGCTCGAATCATTATCGCCGTCGATGATGTCGTCAATCAATTGCCGGGTCAAAGGTTTATCTTTTCATATAAATTATAAATAAGTATCTTTATAAACGGGAAAACACTTGTGCTACATATAAATATATATTTTGATGGTTGACTGTACAGTTTAAAATCTTAAGATGTAGGTTAATTTTATAGGAGTTAGTTTTAGTTCGAGTTTATTTGCTGAATCGGCAAACATTGTTCTGCCATATAAGTTAGAACTAGGTACACTGCAATTACTTAAGACCTAAAAAAACATGGATGGACTGTGTGAAAGACAATAAGACCTGATTTTTTTAAGCAACTTAGAAGTGCAAAGAAGCTGTTGGCTCCCTGATGGAAAGTAATAAATGTCGCCTATAGACATGAGCAGCATCATGGACTTAACAGAGTATACTGTTTCACCCATGATACCTCACATGCGTTGCCATCCCTGAAGAATATAATGTTATGCCTTTATACCCTGTAAATTTACTGCTATATCCCAGCCTTCAAACCGAAACACAGCCATGCAAACACAACTGCTTCACGGTAGAAACACGAATGGGCTGTCACCTGTAGGTGTCCAAGCAAACGACTTTTGTACAGTCTTCCTTTGGTAAAGAATGGGAGTGAATGCGGAAGTGACTGCGAATAGAGAAGAACGGAAGAGAAAAACATATTACATCGATCTCACATAATGATGAAATATACTTTACGACCTATTCTCGTATCTACTAAATATAAATAAAAAAATTAATTGAAAATCGGTCGAGCCGTTTCAAAGAAGTGCGACCACAAACACTTTGATAGGAGTTTTTTATATATTTGAAGATTATGTAAGTCTATTATGTATTATTCATGGTGCTTCTCGTATCTATACAGGCGTAGCTGAGGGTTATCACTTACCATCAGTTTGTCAGCTCATTTGCCATTCCAAATTGTAAATATAAGATAAAGAAATCTCTAAAGAAAATATTTTATTTCGAGATTTCTTTATCTCGTTTGTTGTGCTTTCTTCACTTAACAAAACGTCATGAAATTCAATATATAAATAATCATCATCATCATCATATCAGCCTTTAACTGTAACAATGTAGTATTGTCTCGACAAGAATTCTGTATTGTACTGTATCTTAACTGCTAATCATCAGGCGGGTCGTATGTTTGGTTTCCACCCTTGATATATAAATACATTTTCTGTGCATCTACTCCCTTAAACTACAATTCAATAATAAATAATAGGGGGGGGGGGAAAGGGATTGTTAGCAATGGAGTTTGACAGCCCCATTGCTAGCAATATGCCCTATTAGGTCGACCTCCACGTGGTTCCCCCTGGAAACCATCGTGAACAATTCTTGTTGAATTCGTCACCATGGGCCAACTGACCTGCTTCATCGTCACTTATCATCCTTCACTGGTACCCCGTCAGCGTATCCCGATAGCGCGGGCGGGGTTACCATTCCATTATCATCCATTAAAAAAAAAATAATAATAAATAATAACTTTTACATTTTATGTCACAAAAATTGTTCTTTAAATCCTGACAAAGACACAGACGAGTGAAATTTTTTAAAAAATTGTTATAAATGTAATAAAAAATTATTGGTTCAAATAAAATTAATCATCATAATAAATAATGCAGTTGAATATAAATAAAAAAAAAAAACTCTATTTTAATTTCGGTTCAAATTGTTATAAAATATCGCAGATATTTAAAAACAATGTCTACAATTACGCCAACAAGGCGGAAATAATAACAGAACTAAACATATAAATAACCGAGATAATAGTAATTCTAGTAACGTCAGTAATGGGGCTATAAATATCAAGACAATGAAACATCTTACATAATTTAATTAGTTTTATATTAGTTTTATACATACGACTTCATCTGTGTGATGGTGATATTAATTTATTTTGATATTTATAATATTTATTTAATTAATTTCTAGGAAAAGAGTAGCCTATGTTCTTCTACATTCTAAATATACTGAATTTATATTAAATATCCTCTATATATTTACCTCGACATAGAATAGGCCACTTCTTCTTTTCCCGTCGGTGTCATAAGAAGCGATTAAGGGACGGCGAGGGTTTTTTTTTATTGGATGAAAATGGAATGGTAACCCCGCCTGCGCTAACGGGATACGCTGGCGGGGCACCAGTGAAGGGTGATAGATGAAAATGAAAACGGGCCAGTTAGCCCATCATGATGAATTCATCTGGAATTAATCATGATAGTTTCCGAACGGCGAGGGTTAGACAGCAGCGACCCTCTTAAAACATCTCCAAAACCTAACTGCGGTTGTTAATGTGCCTGTCAAGCGTGGCAACTACTGGCAAAACCCCCTCAAAATGGAGGCTTATTTTCAGCAGTGGACAGTTAAAGGCTGACATGATGATGATGATGATGAATAAAATATGCAAGATAGCACAAGCTCTAGTCCTAGCGCTCCTCGAATTAAACAACCGCTTACACAGAAAGTAAAAATGTTTAATGCAACACCAATTTTTCTGTGAAATTTTCGCAAGTTTGTATTAAATTTTTTTGTTCGTTGTTATATTTTTTTTTTCAAGTATTCGCAGGCACGGAATCAGATTGAGCTGAAATTTTGCATGTTAGTATTCTTCAGTAGGAATACGAGAATATGATACAAAATAATTGGTAGTTTTAATGACCAACGTTTAATGATTAAGCCAAAATTTGTTCTTAGGCTATTGTATTTTTGCAATAATACAATACAACCCTGTGGATTTGGATAAATTTGTCTCCTTGAATTCGAAATTTAAAACAGGTGGTCCACCATGAAATGAAATTCCGAAATTTCGGGCTCAATTTCGCGTTTTTGTTCGTACCGAAATCGACCCAATAAATGGAGCTTAACATTTCGTTTATCATAAATCCTATCCTAATAGTCCAAAGAAGCGATATTTTAACATTTTTAATAATTTTAAACGGCAGGTATTATGCAATTTTAACATCAAATTTCTTTTTCGTTCGTCCCCGAAATTTCGGAAAATATTTCATTGTAAGCCCTCAGGTTCTAAATATGCAGTCTAGATAACATTGAAATATCACAGAAAAAAATCTGTCTTTAAACAAGATCTCTTAATGTAGATTAGATTGATTTTGCAACCGGACTGTGTCGTAATGTAGAGATAAAGAGTTCAGATAAATAAAAGAATAGAACTCAATGGGCTCCACAACTAGTAGATATTTTTAACCTAACTAAATGTTGCTCAAAATGCACTAAGTTTGTACCAAAATAGGCCACTATCCATATTCCAACAAGCTAAACCAACGGTCGGTACATCCGCAGTGCGCGTCGCGCCACGCGAAAAAGAGGGGACATTGAGCCAAACAGAGACAGGCACAATGACCGAAATCGATGTTAGAAGAACACCGCTAGATGTTGCCGTCTCGCTTGCCGCCGGTACGCGCGCACCGAGTATGCACCGGACTTACCCCAAGCCGGTGCGTACCGCACTTATTATGTACTCGTTTTCACAATCTCCGTTATTATTTTAGAACATACATAACATTTATTTTTTTACTGGCACGATTTTAAACACACATAGATAAGGGAATAATTTTGCGTTGTTATGTATTTGTATAAAGTATTAAAAATTAAATAAAAATGAGTTAGATACGGAAAGGTTAAATTAAGTTGTATAGATAAAGTACAGTTACTACACATAGATTACTGTTGCATTCAGGGCTCTAGGAATTAATGGTAATATGTTTAAGAGGTGTTATGTCACAAAGTACGAATCGACAATCGATTTGATGTGTCGAGTTCACAAACATTAAACAGCTGGCGATTCGGATGGCTTCGTCTTTGTTCGTTGGCAAAAGCACACAATCACAAGGCGCGCTGTATATCAACGTACTGCCTACGATCCGCTAGTTGGGTTCGTTGAATCGGTCCGTTCGCTAGAATGGGACCTAGTAATACATGAGTGTTCAGAAAGACTGCTCGCCGCGACCATCCGTGTAACAATAAAATATTAACCACTCTATATGCGTAATTTTATTTAATAAAAAAAAAAAGAAGTTTGTGAGTGTAATAAACGTGTTTACAGTGTCTGCCAACGTTGCTCTCTTTTGTGGATTTGCCTTGCAGATTTTTTAATCAGGTAAAATATATTTAAAGTTGTAGTTTATTTTTTATTTGAGAATATTTAATGTATTTTTATGATACATCTGTTTACATATTTTAATAAAGAAATTTTACGTAACATAACCCATTGTCTACATCGTTTAGTGCCTAATACAAAACATTGAGTAAATATTTAGTTGTCATACCTCAAATAAAGAACTTATCTGATCTTATATGAATCTTGTTTGTATGATATATTTTGGTAATTCATCTACATATGTTAATAAAATATATTAAGAATATATTGAAAATTGGCTCAAATATTGTTTCATTTTCCTATGAATATTGCGTTTTTAAAAATGAAAAGAAAAAATCAGAACTATTTGAAGACAATTTTAAATTTTTCAATAGAATTCTAAAAACAATTAGAATAAAACGATGCAATATTCAGTTTAGTAAAAATATTTAAATTCTAGAATAAGATGAAACTAATAGAGATCATGTTGATCCAGATGAGTGACAGGAAATTACTAAAATTTTTAATTAAAATTTTAATCGTTTTAACGATGAAGATTTAGAAATTTCTTATATATATATTCCAAGATAATTGTAGTCAAAGATATCCAAAATAATTACCTGCTAGTGTATTAATTTAAGTATTCGTATCATTTGATTTTAATCATTCTTGCCAACAAAAAGTATAATTCTTATCTTACTATGCTCATAATTTTAACGAAATATATATATATATATATATATATATATATATATATATATATATATATATATATAAAGTTATAATAAAAAGTACACACGTGGACTTATATTTTTTAAAGAGATTTCTTCCAGTCAACCTTGGGAACTCGAATGGAGAAGTTATTCTATAAGATTTGTATATAAAGCATAACATATATGGTGCAAAAATAATACGATAAATAAATTATATATATTATTAGTAGTTATGTAGTTAGTAACAGAGTACAGATAAATATATACCATATATCTGTACAATTTAAATATGATATAAAACTTTTTGTAGAAATATCTAAACTAAATAGGCCTCCTTCGACCATTTTAATTTATTTGAAATTATTGAAGCCCTGTTGTTTCATAACCTTCATTGCTTGGGTACCTCTGTCCCATTCGTGTTTCTACCGTGAGGCAGTTGTGTTTGCATAGCTGTGTTTCGGTTTAAAGGGTGGGATATAGCGTGAATTTACAAAGTACAGAGGAATAACATCTGAGTCCACAGGAATGGTAACGCATGGGAGATGTCATGGGCGAAACAGTATAGACATAACAGTGTTATATCCATGATATTGGTCATATCTATAGGCGACGGTTACCACTTTCCATCAGGTGGGCCGTCAGCTTGTTTGCCATTCTAAGTTGTAAAAAAAAAACAGATCTCTTTTCCACCTCATCTTTGGCCTTATTTTTTGGGGCATTTTGGGGCAATTGAAACAAGTTATAAAGAAAATAACTATCTCTTCTATACATACTAAGTAACGTGGATTTTTTTTATATAACTAGCTCCAAATTAAGAAACAAAATAGGAAATTACCAGTAAGTCAAAAGAGTTCTTTATATTTGTAAGAGATTTGATTTCAAAGTAGATGAGTAGGTAACTCTTAAAATGTAAACATAATATGACATCGTTGAGTTAAATCTTACCATATTTAGGTATTTCAGTAACTACAAAACAGATATTAGTAACACTATGTCAACTGTTTTACTGAATAAATAACCTAAAAAGAGACAAAGAAAATACTTAACAATATATTGTAGAATTACAAAGGATATTACCGTTGGTTTTAGTATTCCCATATTATATTAGAATGCCAATTCTATTTCTTGTTAATTTTATAGCGTTGATGACTATCGCTAGTTTGAGTGATGTATCTTCAACTATTAGTCAGATAGTTTTTGTTACTCATGAGAAAAATCTAGCTATTCTAGGTTACAGCGTCTAGACAGATATGAAAGCAACATTATTGCAGAAAATACATCCAACTTATTACGTTTGTGACTAGTTTTTGTCCTCTACTTCGTTCACATCGATTTAAGAAGTAAGAAAACAAAAGAAGTGAACTACTCCTCGGTGACGTATAAGATGAAAAATATACCAGATTTTAAGCTAGATCTTTAGGAACACAATCGAGGACACTACATCCAATTGGGTGCAGTAGCTTTTATACGACGCCGGAATAAACAAACTAAAGTTTCATCCCAACAACTATCTGAATGAGTGGCGGTCCTTTTCCGTGCGTTTTTCGAAGCACTTTTTTCCACGCACAACCAATCTTTGGAATTGACATCCCGTAGTAGTATTTCCGAACCGATACGACATCAGAACCTTCAAGAAAAAAAGGCCGGCAGCACACCTGTAATGCCTTTGGTGTTGTGGGTGATCATGTGTGGCGGTGGTCACTTACCATCAGGCGAACCGCATGCTCGTTTGCCACCTGTGTTATATATATATAGATAAAAAAAAATTTCAAACATTATCGTTTAGGTTTCTATTGATCTTATTAAGATCCTTTATATTATTTTTCCTTAAATATCTTCCATGTACAGACATTTTCGTTATAATTTTATTACATAAGTAAAGTATTACATTTAAGATATTAGCCAGATATTATAATTTCAACATAAAACTTTGTAAACATGGTCAGGTGAAAGTCGAACATTCTTTTTTAAAAGTAAATACAATTTGGAAAAATAATAATGACAATCAAAAGAACAAAGATACATTATCGTTACGTACAATATTTAAATTGGTAAAGGCCATTAAAGGAATGACAAATTGACAGATTGATTTTTAACTACAGCTCTCTAAACTGTTATCTCTAGTAAGGTAACTTGTGGCTCATTATAGTCGAGTTTTGAACATCTGTAATTCTCTTATTCATTATCAACGAAGGCTTTACATTGAACAGCATCTATGTTAACTATTTTATAAATATTATAGCTAAGTACCTACAGCTTAGTTTTATCTAAATCACCTCCTTGCTATAGTGTTCTAAATTTAATATCATAAACAAATTATGGTTCTTCAGCTTGCTTTGTTGAAGTATGACTCATACATTTACATACACGTTCTTATCATGGAAACTATTATTTATTATATTATTAGTTTTATAACTCTTCTATTTTTTATTAGTCCACAAATTGTTCTTATTGCAATAATAGACAGAAATATCATGACTTCAGCATTCTCTTTTTATTTAAGAGTTTCCTCTTGTCGGTGCAACTAATTTATGCATTTTCTTCCAGCTAATTCTATCCCAGGCCATATCCTTGACCTCCCTATACGACATGACACCTAGTGTTTCTTTTATCTGTCCCATGTAGTTGTTCCTAGGTCTTCCTCTTCCGTCAGTAATAATGTCATGATAATTTCATCATTGTCATTTGTTAAATGTATATTAATGTGCATACACTAATGTACAGTTGGTGCTATTTTTTTGGAATTTTTCGCACACTGCTCTTTTTGTAAGTCTGAATTAACAATAAACTTCTCATAATAAATTCTTACAGGCCACACTATATATGTTTACAGCTTCTAAAATTAAGATATTGATTTTTATGTTTAAAATATTTTATTGAAAATATTTCATATCTATACTATAGAAAAGCTCATGGTATTGATAACAGGTTATCAAATAAGAATAAATATCATTATATACCTAAAGATAAGTGGGATACGGTACTAATCATAGTGCTACTGATTTATAGATACGAACTGTTATATAATACGGATTCTAAGTAGGAACAGGATTATCGAATTAGATATTTGAAATTTTATCTATTCAGATAGCAAATTATTGTGTTCTTTTTTTTCCAATTGTCGAGTAAACTCTTGATTGCACGGAGAAAATAAATGTTCTTATTTATTTGCTTTCACCCGCAACGTCATTCGCGTAACCGGGATATGTTTACAGATCGGGATAAATCTTCATTTTATTAGTACGTTTATATCAAATTTCATAGTAACTGGTTGAGTCATTAAGGCGCTATGATGTCACAAACAAATTCACTTTAACATCTATAATATTAGTAAGGAAATATTAGAAATAAGAGACAAAAATCTTTAAAGAATTAATTTATTAACTAAATAACAATTCTTTATGATTAAAACACTAAATTAATTGATTTAGAACTTAATTTAATTGTAATTTTACATTTTACAATCGTTACGATAAGCACAAGTGTTTATTTCGCAGTTCAATCAAGGAATGCACCAAAGCTTAAAAACAAAGGAGCTACTATGAACACTAGTTTCACACGGGACGTAATTATTATAAACAAACGAATAGGGTAACAAATACGTAGAAGGAACACTACGTGTCATTGTTTCTGCAGTTTAAACATCTCGCCGTTATCAGCTCAACTTAGGGATCCGACAACAGGGCCTCCGTTGTTTCTTGTTCTGCCATCGGCACGCGGTGTTTCGATTGCCATGACCTTCAATAAGGATTCATAGGAACACCATCGACGATATCGAAAGACGTTGTAACCTTTAAAAAAAGAGCACATTCTTTATTGAAAGGCCGGTAGCACGCCTTCAATTCCTCCGGTGTTACGAGTGTTCATGAGCAGTGGTAGTCACTTACTATTAAGTGAGCACCCTGTATATAAAAATAAAATATTAGACATTCTACATACAATAGGCTAAACCTTCGCATGCCTACATGACTAACGACAAGAAAATAGATGCCGAATGAACAATGTACCGCCTATTTTTACTAGCGAATAAACTTCCTCTCTTTTGTCGAATAATAATTATAGTGAGTCATAACTGTATTTTAATCATTTATATTTGCTTTACCCACTTAGTTTTAGCGTTGCCTGACTAGTTTCAGATTCGATCTTGACAATGATGTTTGTTATTATTCATGAGAGAAATAATGTTTGTTAAAGGGACTTACGTTTATGTATGAGGAGCAGAAAGCGTTTGATGCAGCCTTTTTCTCAATCGACTCGATACGAGCCCTTATTTATGAGCACGGTTTATTTTTCTATTATTACCAGAGG